TTAGAAACAATGCACTGTGATTGGTTAATCTAATTAAAATAATGGTTCACCAAACAAATCATTACTATTACAACTGCTATAGTACAATACTATTTTGCGAGTTCTATAGACTCGGTATGGTTAGGCCTACTTTATAGATTAAACGTGCGAGACTTCTGCTCATATACATTGTTCCACAAGTTTTTAGGCCTACCTTATAGAATAAATGTCTTCTGCTCATATAAATTGTTCTATAATTGTGATTCAACACCTATTTACCTGGACATGACATTAATTGTAAATGGGAGGATTTCTCCCTGCAAAGGTTGACATTTCATGTAATCCCCATCAATAGCGAAGTCACTTCTACTGTCAAACGGTTCTAGACGAAACGCCAGAACTGGAATGGTATCCACGAAGGAGGAATTCACATGTTTGCCTTCTCTCATAGCAATTAAAACGTAAGGAACGCATATACGAGGTACGTGACCTTGTAACAAAGTTAACCAAATAGTGTCATCATCAAATTTAGCATTTGGTGCAAGTGACGTATAGGTGGACACCCGGCTCACATATGAACACCCGATCATATAAAACTCTCCCTCGATAGTCTCCCAGTCATCAGGTACAGGTTGATCCCATTTCGGGAGGAAGGACGTCATCATCTTCCATGAAGGAAATAATGAGCCATCCTCCAAAGACGTAAAATTTTTTGACTGAAGATGAGGATTTCCGTGGCAAGTAGTAACACTCTTACAGTTATCATTTTTATAGAGAAAACAGGGACGTTGGCTATTCTGAAGCTCAATTATCGACTCCCTTGCACGTGCCATTTTAGTTCGATTCTCTTTTGTTGCTCGCACGAAAGATAAGCGACATCTGTACTTTTTCGGTCCTGAAAAAGATAAAATTAAAATTAATAAAAGATATATATATAATAAAATTAATGCAAATTAGTATTACATTGAAGGAAACTATGTGGCGATTATTTTACAAGATTAGTAAAAAAAAATATTATTTCAAAAAGTGGAATAGCGATCGTC